CATGACCCAACTGACTGGACCGGAAGTCAGAGTTCTCACCTCCTGCCCTCGTCCATGTCCAAATTTGAACCTCGAAAACGCCTTTTCTGGGCCGGGCAGAGGCAGAGGTTCTGGTACCCTGTGTCCCGCCCGGGTCGTCTTGGACGTCCTCCTTGAAGAGTCGCTTCCCTGCCTTGCCCTGCCTCGCATTTATACACCCTCTCCGCCTCCTATCTGCACATCTATATCATCCTCCCCCTTGTACACAATTATCCATGTCGGGGCCAAACCCACCGCCATGATGCCGCACGCCGCCATCCATCGCCAGCTCGAGAGCCGAGAGCTGTGAAACATAAAAGGAACGCTGTGATCTATAAAGGCAGGAAAACCCGGACCGCTGCGACCGAGTTCTACTCAAGCCTCTCGTGAGCGGTTCCTTCTAATCACCCCAGGGGTACGAGTGAAGTCGTCCTTGCTTCTGAAAGAAGCTACGTCCTTCATCTTCCTTTCCGCACCTGCCTGCCTGTCGTCCCTTGCCTTGCTCGTGTCCTCTTGCTTCGATATGAGACCCTGACCTCTTATAGAAAGACCATACCCAGCCTCTGTTCATGACTGCCGAGCTGCTACGTTGCATTGAGTACTTCTGGCGGCCGACTTCTTCCTCCCATCAACTTATTTCAATCCCTCTCCATTATTCATCATCATACTTCATCAGAAACATCAGCTTTTGCCTCTCAGCAGCTGGACATCCTTGTACGATCTTGTTAGAGCCCACGATCGTTTTCAAGAGCATTCTCTCCCTCTTCACTGTTACTCTCTGTATTTTCTGTGCTCTTTCCTTCAGCACACGCACAGCCGTCATCCGTCACAGGTGCAAAGCCCCAAAATACGTCTCCCATCATCCACGTCTACTGACAACGCACGGCTACAGCCGCAACCATGTCTTTCAAAATAGCCGGGCCTGCCCTTGGGTATTCTCAGATGGAATTCAAAGACCATGGCTGTAACGGACCCGCTGCTGATATGCTCGGCCTTCCAGGCGGCTTTCCAGCGGTCCTGAACACTGAGTCCTCGTGGACTGGCCAGGATTTCAGTCTTGATCCACACAAATACATTGTCAACCTGTCGGCTGCCAACATCAAGGAATTAGAGAATGCTTTGGAAACGTTCAAGAGTACGTCCCTTCCCCCCCTCGAAGACTCACACCGCGCAGGAGTGCTAACCTTGCTCTCAGACTCCGGCCAAGATGGCGGCAATGTGACCCGTGACACCTTCAAGCTACCTGTTCTCGGCGACACGCTGTGCCAGGTTTCCCAGGACGTGATTTCTGGTCGAGGATTTGCAGTGGTCCGTGGCCTGCATCCCAGAAAATATTGTGTTGAGGACTTGACGCTTTTGTACCTGGGTATCCAAGTCTACATTGCCAACGAGCAAGGAAGACAAGACAAGAAGGGCAACATGCTTGGTGAGTGTGTATTGGAACTATCGTGCTGTCATCGGCATTTCTGGGTGTGGCGACTGATCATGTTGCGCTACCAGTCCAC